ATCACAGCCATGCTCGGGGGCAACTCATTTATTTTTCCACCCCCTAACAGGAACACAAAACATGGAACTCAAGTCAGGCATGACCAGACCTGAAGAATTTGACTCTTCCATCCTGCTGCTGGTAGAATACCTCGTGATTTGGACTCTGGGGGAGGCCTGGGGGACCCCCAGTGGAGCTGGGAGGAGGTGATCAGAGACACTTAATCTGGCCCAACTTCAGGAGAAGGAAGGAGCCTCAGGGCCGGCCAGCTCAGCTCAGTCTTTCATGAATAAACACTCTAATTGGGGACATCACAGATAATGGGTCTGACTTCTTTCACTGGAGGGCCGATCATGATTTGCTAATTGGATATTCCTGGGGTGGTGGAGGTGCCCTCACTGGCCCTGAATGATTACTAGTTAATGGAGTTTTAGAAGTTCCTCTGGCAGACTGATAATGGTAACCACACTCAGGGGGAGGGGCAGGAATGCAGAAGGAAGCCCAGCCTCTAGGAAAGCACATGGTGGCACCAGGTGCCAGGAAACACACCAGGCCCAGCACTGACAACCCCATCTGCAGCTCAGTGTGGACCCATCTTTCTCCACTGGAATGTTTGACTTGGGAGATGAAATGCCCTCCCTACTGGATCTCCCTCACTGCAGAATTTTGGACTCATTCCTTTGTACCCTAAAAATAAAGAGGGAGAGCTAGTCTGGGGACCAGTGAGACATTAGCAAAGGATCTTCATGTGCTGGGCAGCAAAAGCTGCTTTGTAGCCTGCACGCTTGAACTGGAGCAAGGGGAGCCACCAATGTTCACTGAGCTGAGGGACAGGGAGCTTGCAGTCTGCCCCTCTACAAGAGGACTGTGCACCCAAAGTGGAGCCATCTGCAGAGGAAGAGCAGAAGAGATCTGGGGTTGGCAAGGCAGGACTCCAACCAACCCTTTTACTTGTTTTCTGGACCTTTAATGGGAGTCTTTGGCCTTTCCCAACAAACTTCTGGGTGAAAGAGGGAAAGAGATTGAGGAACAGAAAGGACAGAAGAAAAGAGACCTTTCATAGCCAGAATTGAAGTAAATTCTTTAAAAAAAAAAAATTAACTAATTGATTAATTAAATCTTATAAAGAAAAGATTAGATACTCTGGTCAGATCATACTACGTACCACAATCATACTATGTCCTATAGCACATCCAGTTTCTTGAAACACTCAAGACATCTATTTTTTATGAAATTAATCAATAATTCCAGATCCATAAACTGTCCTCTGCTGAGGCACCATCAGAAGCAGCAGCCCTGTTCATTCAGTCTCTGATCCCTTGTCTTCTTCTAGGTAACTGAATTCTCCCTTGACTTCAACCTCAGCTACAGTCTTGCCAAAGCCTGATGTCACTTGTGCAAAAGATTTAGAAACTTGCTGAGGATTTGCTTGGAAAATTGGCTCTGACAACAAAGCAGGGTGACCCCAGCTCATCAAAACAGAAAATGCTATGCAAGATGAAGCTTTTGCTGGCTTCCGTTCTTAACTGGTGACCAAAACATAAACACCTACGAGCTATTCCTGAAAAACTAATTTGCATCTCAAAACACCTATGATTTAAAAAAAAAAAAAAAAAAACTTTTTATGTACTAAACTTTGTGCTGTATACTTTACATATATTCCCTCACATAATTTCTCTAAGAATCTGGTAATATAATTATCTCCATTTTATAGATGGAAAATTGATTTCTTTACCTACCCAAGGTCATTTTTGAGTAACAGGTAAATATAAACTTTGTACCAGGTTTCTTTGGCTCCAAGTCCTTGGTCTTATCCACTGTGCCCTTCCTTACTATTTTTCCTATTCACCTTTTCTTTCCTAAAGGTAGTCAACCAAGTGGGTGATGATCTGGATTCAACATCGAGAAGAACAAGAAACACAATCGTATTTTCACAGAGAAGGCCAGAATGATTTCAACTGAAAGATACACTTTAGTGAACAGAAAAGGAAAACGTTCTCACATTTTCTTACTGATGTCTTCAAGAACTGCACCCTTCTTCTCTAGACGCAGCAACAATGGGCCATGACAGTGTTTATTATCAAAGAATCTTGCTGATGACGTAAATGGCTTAAGCTTTCACGCACTGAGTTTCTCCTCTGCATAAAATGACCTATAGAAATAGGTATCTTAAAGCTCCCTCTCAGATCCACATTGATACATCAAGAATTCTGTGTGTGTAAAAGATGTGGTGTAATATTTTTGCTATAGGAAAGAAAACTGGTTTTAGAGAATCTAAATTTTTCTGAGGTTGTTAGCTACCATGACCATGATGATTTCCCCCAGCCCTTTCTTTTGCTCTCTGTCTCCTGGTGAATGTCTCTGTCTTCTTGAGCTATCTATCTCCTGCACGTTTGGTACAGCTCCATCTGGCTCATTTGTTATTCATGAATTAACATGTGTTTTGCCTTTTAACAACTGTTCCAAAGCACACCATAGGGCAGTGCAGCAGCCAAGGTCTCCATGTTTGATCACACACATCATCAGTCGGAAGTGTGTGAACCTGCACCCTAGTATAGATGTATTTACTTACACATGTACATTAAACAATATAGATGAGAGCACATTATATAATGAAAACAGAAAGTGGAAAGTAAAATCCAAAATCCAACCTGCCTAGCAAGCACAAGGTCCTGAGTTTGATTCCTAGTATCAAAAAAAAAAAAAAAGAAACCCAAAATCTATTAACATCTAGTGGGTTATTTGGGGCTAAACTGTCTCTTTTTGGAGATCTCAAGTGCCTAAGACAGTAGAAGACCCTGTTAACTCTGGGATTAGATGCCAAGCATTTGAGAATGAAAAATGTTAAACAATAATGTCTCCAGCTCAATGGTGTACAGACACGAAAGAAAATGAAGAAGGTCAGGCATGAAAGCATAGACACTTATGGAAATGCTACCACTGGTCAGTATCAGTCTGTTTGGGTGTCATACTATGAACTGAACTAAAGATATGTGGGGATCACATAAGGCCCATATTCTACAAAGTTTTGCTTCTGTCCTTTAGGCTGGAAGCAACCTTTTCAAACTCAAGTCCTTCGGGGAAATATTGCATTAAACTGGATTAGCTTTACCCACCAGAATGTGAATGCATTTGGCAGCTGCAGGTAATAGTGGAGAAGAGAGAAAACTGTAATGAGATCAAGGGAAATTAAAAGGAGAACCCTCAAAACAGCATATTTCTGAGACTTGGGTGCTCAAGGGTCTGATCTTGCTCCACCTTTACCCTCTACCCCAGCTTTGCGACCCTAGGGTTTGATGACAAGCAGCACTGGTCTCATAAAAGTACAGACTCTTTGAGTACTACTGAGTGCTGAATGCCTTGAGAAGATAATGACCTACTGTAGAGCTCTGAACATGAAAATCCTCAATTTCCACCAGAAAGACTCTATTTTTCTGACTGAATACCTCTCTGTATCCCCCAACACTTCTTAGTCATATCTTAGTGATGCCTTAAGCATCATCACCCTTTTATAAGACTTACTAAGGGAGGGGCCTTAAAGAATATGCTAATGAACAGACACAAATGATGTGATGAGCTGGAGTGAGGAGGGCTAGAGATAACTCCAGGAGAAAGAGACAGGCTCAGGAAGGAGAGCCAAAAAAGGTGAGAAAGCAGGAGACGGAGGGAGACCCAGAATGGAAGGAAGCAGTCACCTTGACTGCTGGAAAAAAGCACAAAGCTACAAGCCGAGGCTCAGTATAAACATTAATGGATGGATGGATGGACATATCCATCCATCCTCTGCCTTAAAGCAAAAGTGATTCACAGCACTAAGACCTGTTATACACCAACATTTTTGACTCAGAAAATACCATGTAGTGTGTTTAATCCTCACAACACCCTCATGTGGTGCATACAATTATCATCCCAATTTTACCAATGGACTAACTGAGGCACAAATACAGGCATCACCCCCATGTCACACAGTCTGTGGGAGATGGATCAGGGACAAGGACTAAAGTGGTCCAGAACTGGGCAACTGTTTACAAGAGGACAGTGTATCTGTGATGGAGGATCCTGAAGAAGACTCATTGTATCCAAGCTTCCATGGAAAGTCCCTTTAACCTCATCATTGTACTTATTTATGTGTTTATTTCTATCAGCTCTCTAGGAGGCAGAATGGTGCTGTGAATGGCTGCTCCACAGGGAGATAAAAGGTTGGTCTCTTGGGAAGTCTGGGCTTCAGTTTTGGGAAATAAGGTAGTTTCCTGCTCAGGAATTCTATATTACATGTCTGGATTAACCATTTAAGCCATGATACTCTAAATAGGGTTTAAAAAAGTCAAACCTGCACAGGCAAATAATATTTGAGATCTGTCCATTCAAAGAGTAAAAGAACAGATTCCCTCCAGAACTGGTAAGATTCATTATACATGGTAAATATTTGTTTGGACAATTTTAAATTCAGGCTCATTTGATTGATGAATAATTCTTCCTACCCTCAGAAAGCTGTCACTGCCAAATGATGATTTGATGTGTTATCTTTTGTAGATTTTTTTTGATTTCTTTCTTTTTAAAAAATCATTAAACTCTGCATCTTGTGATCAATTCTTAAGTAGATTTCTTCACTAAGGGAAAGATACCTGACACCTTTCTTTATCTCTAAGTGATACAAGCAGTTAGAAACCCCAAATAGAGAGGTTTGGACTGGACCCCAAAAAAAAAAATCTTCAGGCTACGAAGAGCTGGACCATCCTGCATCTATCTATTCACTGAGGCAATGCCTGTTCTACGTCCATTGTCTGTGGGAATTTCGGGTGCCCATTCTTCCTCTGTCCCCAATAAATCCACCCACTTCCTAGATGATGCAGTCAAGGCCCATTGCAAGTTTGTGATCCGCAAAGGCTTTTGCAGTGTTAAAGCTACACACACACACACACACACACACACACACACACACACACACATACACATGCTCCCTGGGCAAGGAGAACCAGGAGTTAGAAAATAAGTCAGATAAAATCAGGAATGCTAGAGATGATCTTCAAAAAATTAAATTGATTCTTTAATAGGGAAACAAAGCAAAGGAAAAAGTATTTATCAATTCTTCTCTAATAGGGATAGGGACTGGATGAGAACAGAAATACTTTGTTTAAATCAAGTACACAGTTATGATTATTATTAGATCTGCTTCCTGATTTCTTTTAATTTCCTGGCCCACAGGCCAGTGCTTATTTCCATGGCTCTTTTGCAAATAATAAATATTATTTTATAGCTCATTAATACCACAATCTGTGTTTTAATTTACTCCTTTCTCCTGGAAAAGTGGCCAGAGGTTGGAAAGAAAGCTAGATTTTCTTAAAAGCAATTTGTTCAAACAGTTCTCTCATTATTTTTTTAAATAATAAGTTTAAAAATCTATTATTATAGAGTAATTGCTCATCAAATTTCTTTTTAAAAGTCAAAGCAATTTTCAAATTATAAAGAACTTCTCAAATGTGTCTAGATAATTATGAGGCTGCATTTTATATAACTCCTATGCCTCAGTAGGTTGCATGGACTGTTATAATCTTTGCCATTGGAGCCCACGATTGCCTCAATGTGTTCACATGCAAGGCACTGTGATAGGTGTTCCATATATAGCATTTCTGTTAAAATACATACATGTGAAAAAATATCTATCAACTTCCCAAGCATCAGTTATTCAGACCAGCATTAATTGTTCTCTTCTAGTAGATGTTTTAAGGATGACAAAAGTGCATGATGGATGGATGGATGGATGGATGAATGGATGGATGGACAGATAGGTGGGTGGATGGTTGAATGAACAGATAAGCTGCAAATTCAGTTAACTCAACCCTTCTTGAGAAAGAAAAGTAATTAAATGACACTAGAAAACCGAAGTTTCCCAAAAAGAATCTGGACATCAGAAAGATATCTACCTAACTTTGAGGCAAGACCATTCAACTTTTACATCACTCCACAATTCTCTCACCAAAGCTGAAAACTTTCAAAATGTCATCCTATCACACAGTAGCCAAGTAAGCTCTGTTTTTTTTTTTTTAAATATACTTGCTAGGCGTGGCAATGCACTCCTATGGGCCAGCTACTGGGCCAGCCTGGGACAGGAAGATCACTTGAGCCCAAAATTTGAACAACACAGTGAGCAACACAGCAAGACCCTATTTAAAAACAAAACAAAATAAAAATTGTAGATGCCTGTGTGTACCTAAGAACCTGAATAAATGTAGTTTATACTTGAAAATTGGAATAAAGGCCAATTTTGGATTTTCTGGGATTATGAATTGATTGTAGGAAATATGGAGAATCAATGGAAACTTCCAAGAATTTCTAGCATAGTGTACATGGCCTCATATACACTTACACACAGACATGGAAGTGTACAAATAAAAATTCACTGCACCTTTGTCTCCCTTTTTCTATTCAATTTTTGAGTGAGTTTAGTTTGGAGAGTTTGCATTCTGGAGCTCCTGGATGCTGGCATGAGTCCTCGATCATCTCATCGGTGTTTCCCTGGTACTCATCTGCAGAGAAGATACCTAGAAACAGAAAATGGTCTGTTCTGCTTTAAACATTACTTCTCTGTCATTCTCTACTCCCCAATACAGTTGCCGGCTGTGATCTGCTACCTTTCAACTTGGAATAAAATACATTACTTATGCAGAGAATGTTTTTAATGTAACAAAGCAAAGGAATAAAAATGCCTTACAACAGTTTTATTAAAAACAAATTCCCACAGTAAATACATATACACTCCGTTTCTGGGAGCAAAACAGCCAAGGACATCACCGCTAAGTGCTCTGGGAAGTGCTTATAAATTACTTGAAATAAAAAACATTGTTGCCTGGACATCACGGATGAAATGCTGCAGTTTGTAATAAATTAACACAGAACTTTACTTCCCCTCCTCGAACAAAGCAGCCATTTGTCTGAATAACCCACATTCAGCTGTGAGTTATATTTTCACAACTGCAACTACATTCATTTGCAAATTATTCTGCAGTTTTAATGCTCAAGTTTTAAATACCTTGAGAACTAATAAATAAAGCAAAGGAGAGCAAACAGTTTGCTTGTAGTTTTAAAACTGCCCTAATTTCTGCTCTTCTTTTGGCTTTTTTCTTTCAGTTATTTTTTTTTTTGTAAGTAGTATAAAGTTTCTTTAAACTACAATTAAAAAAAAAAAAACCTAAAATGTATCTGGGAGTATTCATACCAAGGAAGTTTTCATTAATTCCAAGAACTATAGAGGTATTTGATTAGTATTCCTTTTACATTTTGAAGACTTTTCTTCTATCAATGCTTTAATTTAGTGACAGAATAATTTATAACCATTTCTGAGGGTTTCCTATTATGTATAACTTTTTGTCTCCAAGTCCTGAATTTGGTTAGATTTTTTCACTCCTTTCTCTCTCTCTCTTTCTCTCTCTCTCTCTCTCTCTCTCTCTCTCTCTCTCTCTCTCCCTCTCCCTCTCCCTCTCCCTCTCCCTCTCCCTCTCCCTCTCCTTCTACTAGATTTTGTACAGGAAAAAGAAAAAATCTCACAAGAAAAATCGTGTCATTTCCTTTGAATTCTTTTGATTATAAAACAAAAACTCTGCAAGAAAACCCACAACCTGCTCAGTAAAACAAAATGAACCACTTTCCAGGTTCTTGATAGAAGCATTTACAGAACCAATTTGAGGTTTGAAGATTATTTTCTTGGCCAAAAAAAAAGAAAGAAAGAAAGAAAGAAAGAAAGAAAGAAGAAGAAAGAACAAGCAAGCAAGTGCAGTTTCCTTGCGCAGAGTTACTGGCTTTTGGGGGTTTCTTTTGAATTGTTTTAAAAAAGGTCCTGTGTAGGCAATTGCAGTGGATAAAAGTAATACCACTATTTCCAGGGAGCGATTTGAGGAGGAAAACTCTTCAGAAGCATGTTATTTTCTGAAAAGTGGCTCATAAAATATTTTTATAAAGGAGGAGTTGAAATCATTTAAAAATCACTCTCTTTTATAAATCTGTTTGGAGAAAGCTCTTTTGATCCCTGTTTCTTCTGATCCTCATCTTTTATTTTGCTTAGAGGTAAACAACATTTGCTTCATTTAAACAACAGCATTTGCTATTGTGGTTCTTAAATAGTTTTCCAGTCTTCCTATGGCAATTTATCACATAGGATGAAATAAGGATACTTTGCAACTAAGACTTTTATCACCTCCCAGAAAATGTTTGTTGTTTTTGACTTAAAAAAAAAAAAACGAAAAACAAAAAACCTCCCTCCCACTCTCACCCCCACTCAGGGCTATAGGGTGGGGGGGGTGTTTTTAGGGCATTTCAAAGGCTTTTGTAAAGTGGGATGCATAGTCCTTCCGTGGAGAATGAGAAACGCTTGATTACATGTACTGGGAAAGGGGAGATATTTCCAAATTCCCTTTTAATTAAGATGTCTAAATAGCCACTTCTTTGGATAGAGTGATTTCCAAACAGATTAAAAATAAGGAATGCTTAACTCAACAGACATCCTGCCCTCTCCAACCCTGGAGGGAGAGGTCTGTTACCTGGGGAGGGAAGTGGACATTAGTAACTCCGTAAACATCAGATAAGAAGAGACACCCAAAACTGATCCAGGGATACAGAGGTCATCCTAGGACCCAGTGCCTGAACATTATCATGGGACTCAGATAACAGAAAATTATTTCTCTACTTAGCCAGGTCATTTTTGCAAATGCATACCCCTTTGTTTTTAAAAATCACTGGGTTCTCACTGGTTTGGTGCTCTTTGATTCTCTGACCAGCCGAGCCTGATAAAGAGCATTTTGCTCAAGCCCTAAGGACTTCATAGCTGGCCACCCATCTGGTGTTAGGCTGGAGTCCATGAAAATCCCTCAGCTTAGCACTGAATATTCTTTTTAAAGACGTTTAAGTAAAAGGGCTGACATTAGCATATGTTCCCCCCAAGTGTCCTGTTGAACTTTCTGCTGGGCATTACCCTACCACGGGCTTTCTGGATGTTATCCAATGAGAGATTGGCTTGGAACTGTAAAATTAGCCATCTGCCTATTAAAAATGTAACCAGCTGCATCCGATGAAACACAGTGACTATTGAAATGAACTCATCCGGGAGAGAACTCGCGTCCCCTGCTTGGACACTTTTCCAATCTACTGCTGAACTGAGACACTCCACAAGCAAAGAGCCTTCCGACCTTGTGTGGAAGAAAACAGCATGACTCTCGAGAATGAAGAAGGCTTGTGGGTTTGTTTCTTTGCTAAAATTCTGGCATTTCTCAAAGATGACTTGGACTTTCAGTGCAGAATTCTCTGTTTCTCTACTACTTTTTAAAAGCACCTCCCTGTTGCAGGAAAAATAAAATATAAAAATAAATGAGCAAATCCCTGGTACTGTTCCCATACTTTAATATGTTCTGATATCCACCCCCAATCCTAATAATTTCTAAAAATTAACTTATTAATTTCTAAGAAACTATAGTCTCTAAGCCTGAAATACTGTAAGCAGTGCATAATACCTTACAACAGAGCGAGAGCCATAATTATTCTGGTAAGAGCTAGTACTTCCGTAGATATTAAACATTCTGTACTTACTACAAGATCTGTTTATTAAAAATGAGAACTTTCAATAGCTTGTGCTATTTTTTCTAAAGCCTAATGGAGCATTAAAAAATAATTCATTAACCAATTAACAAAACCGTGTTTATTTACAGTATATAAAATGTTTCTATCAGGAAAATAACACACCATAATACAGCGCTGTGTTGACAGCAAAACATCTGCAGCTTAATTTAATGCATTTACTAAATGACGAGGGGAAATCAAAGGATGTTTAAACAGCTACTTCTCTGCCTGTGATTTTGTTTCTTTGTGGAGGTCACAGGCACCAAGGAAAGATGCCCCTTGAGAAGCTGGAGCTCTATTCAAAGATGATCGGTACAAAAATCTTCAGACAATTTTGAAAGGACCAGGGCTGTCCAGAGTTTGGATTCTGTACCAGTTAACAATGAGTCCTAAATCTAACCGTATAGAAGCCATGATGCCTGGGAGGTGGGACCATGTGGAACTGTGTTTTTATTTTGTTTTTGATTGTTTGTTTGTGGGTTTTTTTTTTTTTTTTTTTTGGTCAATCAAATGTTAACGGCTTCATTATAGCTAATATTTCTTACTTGAACATCTTCATTTTCTCTCTTCCTTTCTTTCATCCTTCCTCCCTCTCTCCCTTTTTCCCTTTCTCTTTGTCTCCAGCTCTCATTCTCTGCCTCTTTTCTGTCACTTTTACTTTGTCTTGGTCAGTATTTTTTTTTTCAAACATAAGAAAACTAAGCCCAAAGTAAATGAGAATCAATATACTTACATATTAGATGGTCCTGTTTTCCTTGGCTTATTTTCCCATGAGATCTCTTCTCTGCTTCTGCTGGAAAACTTCTGAAAAAGTCAGGGTTTTCTGTATGTAGACTTGATTTTCTTATCAGCACCCCAACATGAAATCCCAAGAAAAGTAACATAATAGCAATTAAGTTACTGTACATACCTTTCAGGGACATATGTCAGTCCTGCTGTCTCTGGAGGAAACATTCTAGGATTGTTTGAAAAAAACAAAACAAAAAAGAAAATGAAGAGCAACAATACAGACAAATGAGAAGTTTTGAGAATTTGTCCTCCATTTATTTCTATCTAAAAATATTCAGAGCAACCTCAGGAATTATAAAATATGATAGAAAAAAATCAGTTCTTTCACAAGAGTGTCTATCAGGATTTTAGCATGCAATCATAATAAAATGTCTATTTCAACTCAGTTATACCAGGGCATGCTTGCTGGCCTCTTCCAGTAGAATCCTGCAGGTGTAACAGCTGTAAGTAAGTTTCCTGTAACAATTTTACCTGTTTCAAATGCAAAGGCATTTTATGCCTTTTAAGCTAAATAGAACAAATAAGACTATCACAAACTAGATGTCTATTTTAAAAGTTGGAGTTTTTTTAAGTAGTTAGAAAATCAAACTTAAAAGTCACAATTCTTTTAACCACGTTCCTCTAGATCTGTACATAAGGAATCATGCCATTTGCATTACTAACTCACAGTACGAATGTGCACTGGGCAGTTGTAGGAGTGTGGCCACACTGTGTTAGGTGTGTTCATGAACTGTTTTAGTTCACTTTAGGTGGAAATGGGTTAGGGGACCATCCATGCAGCCGCAATCATTTCCCCTTCTCACTGGTTCCAGATCTTAAAGTATACAGTTGAAGCAGGTTACCAAACACACGTAACCTTACATCAGAGTTCTGTGTGAACAGAGATGCAAATTATTCAGCAAACATGCTATGGCCAGCACTGCCTTTGACTACAGCAGACATTGGTAGTAGGTTACAGCAGTCTTTCTCTCCAATCCCAGGAAACTTTTCAAAATCAACCAGAATTGACTCAACAGATGAAAACACTTAACTGAAACTACCAGTCACCTGGAGATCATGTCTAGGACCTTAACACAATAGGATTAAATGGCCTCAATTAATTATATCCTGACTGATGGTCTCCTTCAGTGAAGCAGCCCCCCCCCCACCTTTGGCTGATCACTATATGAAGAAAGAGATACCAAAAAAAAAAAAAAAAAAAAAAAAAGAAAGAAACCAAAACAAAACACCAAGTAGACATCAAGGATTGAACGGGGTTTACAGCCTTGCAGCCTGTCTCCCAGGGAAACACACCATTTACTCCACTTGTATGCACCCCAGTCTCCCGTACAGGTCTGCGCAGCATAAAATGTATAGACTGACAATGCAAAACAGGTTTGTTTTCTTCAGCTGTGCCTCTTTTCAGGCATTTCAGAAAGAATTAAGAGAAAAATACGTTCAAAGTACTACAACTCATACGGAAAGAACTTGCGGAATTGGGTGTGGTGGCCTATACTTGTATTCCAAGCAGTCTGAGAGGCTGAGGCAGAAGGATTGCAATTTGAAGCCCAATCTCAGTAATTTAGCCATTTAGTAAAACCTGTCTCAAAATTTAAAAAATTAAGAAGAAGAAGGGGTTGGGGATGTAGCTAAGTGGAAAGACCCTGAGTTCAAAACAAAAAAAGAAAGAAAGAAAAGAGAATTCTCTTAAAGGATCAAACCTCCCAACTTCATTCACATTTCAGAATTTCAGATCATGGGGAGAGTGCTCTAATTGGCTCAGAGAAGTAAATTTCTGTGCGAAGCCTTCTGAAGCTCATTATTGCCCGCGAACTAGTCCAGGAACTTTCTTGTGTAAAACACAACGTGCTTTGTCCATTGATCTCAGGTTGCCACACTCTCCTTCCATCTGTTAGCCAACCTATGTTGTTTCCCTACCTAAATATGTGCCTACATTGTTTTCACAGACCTCTGTGCCCTTGCACAGACCATCTTCAGTGCCTGGCACGTGATCTTTCCTCTGCCTCGTTAACTTCTGTCTGTTGCTATAACCCTGTGCAGGTACCAGGCTCCTCTGTGCTGAATCCCCAGGAGTGAGCCCATTGCTGCCTTGGACATCCAGTTTACCTGTGAAGAGGAATAGTTACGAGCCCAGACACTTGAATGAGTGCCCTAAATTTGTGATGCTAAAGGTCCACGTGAGGTATGAGCAGACAAATCATTTACTTGCTCTCTGTCTTGGTTTTCCCAATCATAAAAATGGGCATAATAGGAGCTAACTAAAAATTAAGGCTGGAAATATATGCAATGTGCTTCTAATGATCAACAGTGCCAATCAGCATGATGTATTGTTGTGGGATAATTTTTAGTTTCCATATCTAGAAACCCCCACAACAAGAACAGGGGCTTTATTATACCACTTTTATATTCCCATCCTTAGCCTACAGCCTGACATAGAACAAGAAGCCAGGCAAGGCAAAAGGATTTTGCCCTAGATAGGATACTAGAGCAGTGGGAGGCCAAGGGGCTTTATCTTGAGGTCATCTTCCCCGCCCCTAGGCAAGTCACCTGTGGCACAAAATGAATTCCAATGGGCTACATTAATCAGTAATGCCCCTTAGGCACCACCCCAGACCAAAGCTATATGTATGCCTCCCCATACCACATGTCCAGCAGAGAAAGCCAGGCCCCAGCCTTCATGGAGTTTCTCTCCGCATTTTTAAAATAAAGGCCACTTTGTATTCTATCTTCTAACTGCACCGAAAATTCTTTCACAAGGTTTGCTGTATGATTTTTTAACTGAAGTACAAAAGCATGGAAAGGCAAAGAAAGAAGGAAAGTTTGAAGAGTGATTGAAACATATACTGGTATAAGGATGAAGGAATCAGAGAACACAGGCCTCCTATTTGTACATATACACACTATAAAACAGTAATTGAAAATACAATTTCTTGTGCTTTGGCCTTACATATAAGCTGTGCATCAAAGGTAATTCGGAATTATCATTTTTGTAAGAAGAAAACCCTCACTGGCTTCTTTTGCACCTCATTGGTCAGGATAGGAGGCTCAAGGAACAGGATGCTAAGTGTATAGCCTTTTCCTCAATATGTCCAGTAGGAGAGGGGCAGGGCTGTGAGGAAGGCTGCAGCAGGAAAGGATGCATGACAGCCAGAAAATCCACTGCCCTGCGCGTGGAAGGTGTCCCCGTACACGCAGGGTCCACAGCCGGGTCACTTAGGTTGCATCCCAGTTGCAACAGTTTGCAACTGGGAAACCCTGAGCTAGCCACTTAGCCCTTCTGTCTTCAGTTACTTTGCCTATAAAATATGAGATAATGTGTTCCTGACCTCATAGGGTTGTTGTGAAGTAAAATGAGAAAATCCCCATAAATCCCTACACACTTCACCTAGGACGAAATATGCACGTCATAAATGTACATTGTCATTATTATCAAACCAGGTTTCTCAGAGGGGACTTTGCGACTTGATTGGTGGAGCCAGGACAAAAGAAACTTTTCAGATACAAAGAGATGGGCTGGGATCATGGAGGATGCCTTTGGCTGGAAAAAAGAGAGCAGAGCGTGCTTGCTTCACTCCTCTGTGTTTGGATTGGCTTTTAAGACAGCACAACCTCCGCTAACCTCAGTTGCAACACTGCATTGAAATGTTGCTCCCAGGATTTGACATTTCCTTATTCTTCCTACTACTGTTTTCTCCTTTGTTGCTTTGAAAATATGAATTAATGATGAATACTAATGAGACTTGTGACAAGGTGAACCTCCGAATAGACTCCAGTAATGCTGGGAGCGTCAAGGCTCCTGCTACTGCTAAGGAGAGAAGATGTAAGGAAACTTCCCCCTGATTCCCAAACTTCCATGGCCTGAGCACACGTTTTCTATCCACTTTTCCTCTCCTCCAGCTCCTTTCCCTTAAAAGTTTTAAAACACTCTTCATGAGCACCGTATGAAGGAGACTTTGAACTTGTTCATTAGATTTTATGTGTCTACCTGAGGTCGACATGATATTGCTTTTTTTTTAAAGTAGAGTTGCACTTATGAAAATCTTTCTGGATGCCTTTTTATTGTCCTGTACTTTCTTTCTTCTCCCTCTCCCCCTTTTATTGTTTCAGATGTTGTTTCACGGAGCTTGGGGATTTCTGAAGCCGCCAACCAGAGGGAACTGAAGTCAGAGCGACTGAACACCCAGTGACTTCCTCCCTGATGCCGATTTTCCCTCCCCCTCCAATAAAAACAGCAATATTTGTCTGCTGTTGGCATCAAAGGCCATTTTTACGACACAGTCTGCAAGACTATCAACGTGATGGTAGGTTTTCTGAGCAATAAAAGCCAAGGAAAAACCAAGAAAAAGTACAATATTCAGGATTTTAGAATACAGTCATTCAGCCGATCTGGGTATTGTAAACATAGCCTACTTTCTCAGTGCATGGCAATACTTATGCCAGAGATGTTTTGTGCATCCGACTGATATTATTGTAATTAGGAACAGTTTCGAGAAATCAACAACACCTTACCATTAGGAATCTGTTTCCACACTGGGATGCTTTGCTTATGTACTCTGCAGACACGGAGTCTAGACACCAATGAAAGAAAAGAACTCTCAGCAAAGACACCCAGCAGGACATTGAGGGCCCATGATGCCATTACAAATGAGATGCTTGCTTCACCAGTGCTTGAAAGGGTCCATGTTGAAACAGGGACATGTCTTTTAAAAGGATCTCTACTCCTGAAGATGTAGGATCAAATCCTAACTGACATGTGCCCTTGAGCTTATGGGTCCCAAGACTCATTACTGCAAAATGGAGATATTGCTGGGCCCTCTTTCCTGCAGTTATCAAAAGGATTAAATAGATAACTAAAACACCTCTGAGAGCAAGTAAAGGACTTAGCACAGAGTCCAGCAAATGGTTAGAGCTTGCTGTTGTTAACAGACACAAATAGGCCAATAAGTAACAGAGCCAAACTACCCAATGGCTCCTGTTTACTGGGGCAGGAAACATTCTACTCAAGACTTAGCCAAGACTAATTCTTGCACAAGAGTCTCTGCACATCAGAAATCTTTAAAATAGAGCTACAATTATTTCCATGTCACTAAACTGTGCTCAGTACCACTTCTTTGACTCACTTTCTCATTTCAAGTGCAAACAAGTTTCTCATTTACCACTCTGACA